ATGTAAGAGAACAAATTGTGTCAAACTTAATCATTTGATGACCTTTGTTGTTCTTCGCAGAAAAGAAAAGCAGAAACAGAGCTTTTGGAAAACCAAGACGATAAAAGTAACGACGACGTTCCAAAGGAGGAAGAGAAAGAAACAGAAACAAAAGAGGAGGAGAGCGAGACAAAACCAGCCGAAGCTCAAAGCTCAGTAGCCAAAGCCGAGAGGACAGAGGTAAAGGTGACGCAGGTGGAGATTCGAATAAGAAGACCAAAAGCTGCCAATCCGTACGGAGCATGGGAGAAAATCCAACAAGAGAAGGATCCATAGTGAGTATGAAACATCAGGCGAACAGACTGACACTCAGGCAGCGACAGGAAGCTCATGTTGTTCTCCTCCGCAGCGCCAGCGTGGACCTGCAGCTGCCTCAGGTGGAGGAGGACGCAGCGGTCGCTCCGGACGACCCGCCGCCTGAACCCAAACCTAAGTTCAGGGAACGAGTGGTCACCTCGCTCGGGGACGAGAGCGGACCTGCTTCCTTCAGGAAAAACAAGACTCAGAATGGGAAATCCAGGAGCCTGCGACAGAGGGACAATGATGACTGAGCAACGAACCTCCCCCCAATAAACAACCCTAACCAAACGTGAACGCTGCAGCTTTTACAAAAATAATTCATTCTGGGAACGCTTCCATGCATCATCACCATCTTTTTATCAAGATTTTTATGTTTCTTTACACCTATTTTATTTTTGAAGACAACTTTCTGTTATATTTTGGCATTATTTTAACGTTTTATTTTTGTGAAGGCTCCTGTTTTGTGAGCTCGAAGTTCACCKATAAATTAAAACACTCTTCTTGTTTCTGGTAGAGGTTGTATAAAAGGAGCAGGGTGTCTTTGGGCCAGCAGTTTGACAACTTTTACTGGAAGATATTCAGAAAAGTGATCAAACTAAATGAAAGGGATGTGATTTTGGTGGACTCAGGGTCAAATGGGGGGGCACAGACGTGGGGTGGGACATAAACAGTGTCTGTCAAGGACAGATAGGTGGTCTCACCACACCCTGACCCTGGCAAACAACCATAAAAAGTCACTTAAAAACAAACAAAACTGCTCTTTTTTTTTCTTTTTTTAACAACCCTTTTCCAAAATAACTGGGACGTGTAAAACAAATACAAATATAATGCAACAATTGCAAATCCTGTAAACCCTTAAATTACTCACAGTGAAAGATGGTTCGTTTATCAAACAYCAAAACTAACAAATTGTGTATATTTTTATATATATTAAATGAAGTATATTTGAATTTTATGTTGGAAGAAAGCAACAGATTTGAAATATCTTGTGAAACTTGATTAATTTTTTTAAATTTATTTCATTTAAAAACAAAACAAATGCTATACATACAACAAATAATACAACACAAATAAATGAAAGGTAGCAGAAAGAAGAAAAAAAATCTTATTGACATCTGCCCCTTTTTCAAAAAGAAATTGAAACAATAATAGTAGTCTTCAAATAACAAAACATAACTCCTTGAACAACAGGTCTTATGAATGCACATTAA